ACATCGCAAACAATTTGTCTATATCGACGGATCTTCTTCACAAGATTATTTAAATATAGATTATCTAAATATAACCTGTGGAGTTCCACAGGGATCTATACTAGGGCCCTTATCATTTCTAATTTATGTTAACGATCTCCATGAAGTCTCAAAATTAACAACTATGTTTGCTGATGATACAAACCTATTCCTATCAAATAATAACATCGACAAACTTTTTTATGATATGAACATTGAACGAATAAAAATATCTGACTGGTTTAAGTTAAATAAACTTTCACTCAACATTGATAAAACTAAATGGATTTTCTTTCATCCACGATTTAAAAAACATTTTCTTCCAAGTAATATGCCTCTTCTTCATATTGATAATATTCAAATAAAAAGAGTAGTTTTCACAATTTTTCTAGGTATCATTGTTGATGAAAATCTATCATGGAAGAATCACATCGGACATTTATGCAACAAAATTGCAAAAAACATTGGAGTTTTATATAAAGCAAGAAGCGTTTTAAATAAACATTCACTAACTCAACTATATTACTCTTTCATACACTGTCATATTAATTATGCTAATATTGCATGGGGTAGTACCCATAAAAGTAAATTAAAGCAACTTTATTGTCAGCATAAGCATATTGCACGTATTATAAATTTCAAAAATCGTTTTACTCACTCAAGGTCACTTTTATTTAACATGAATGTTTTTAATATATATCAAGTAAATGTTTATAATGTTCTTTGTTTTATGTTTAAATGTAAAACCAACTCTTCTCCAGCTTCCTTTTTTGATTTATATTCTTTAAAAGAAAAAAACAAATATTCTTTAAGAAATGATAATTTTATTAAACAACCAAAATTTCAAACAAACCTTGGTAAATTTTGCATTTCTTTTCGTTGAGCTTTTTTATGGAACCAAATAATTTTAAAAAATTTTGATTTTTCTCATGAATGGAATTTTTATATGTTCAAACGAAAACTAAAAAAAGTAATATTCTCAATTGAAAATATATTTATATACTTTTAATTTTACCCAGTTTTGTCAACACTCATTTATATTTTACTTTTATACAATATTGATTTAAAGTTTATGTCAGAAACTGTAGTTTAACATCATTATTTGAATTTTGTTAAAAGTTCCACTGACATTATTTGTACAGTAGGCATTTATTATTTACTTGTTTACTTTAATTTTTATTTTATTTCGTAATTTTGTAAATAATTTGTATTACGAACGGTATATACTTTTAATATTGAATTTAATTTTGTAATGAAAAAATATATATATATTATTATTAAAAAAAAAACACAAAAAAAAAAAAATACAAAAAAAAAAAAAAATACAAAAAAAAATTTGAATGTATCTGCAAACATTGTATGTATGATACTTTTGGAAGTTAATCATCCTTCGACAGTGGTTTAGCATTTTTGTCGGCGAAAGCGTTAACGTAAATGCACCAACATTTGATAATTATGGCTTCTCATACAATGACACCATCATTTGGCTATCTAAATTCTTCTACACAATCTTTTGGACAATCTTGAAGTGCATTTGGATGTACCTAGTGCAACCATATTCTTATTATTTTCGTCTATTTATTAATTAATTAACAATTAAGATCAGTGTAACTGATAGATTTGAGTAACAAGAATCAGTGATCATGTCAGATGCAAGACGTATTTATTTATTAAGAATACTATGATATTATTGTTTTCGCTTGAATCATCCGGTTCAGAAGAATTAGTACTTTAATTCCAGCCATAAAGACCATAACTTAAAAAAGTTAAAAACTTGTGTTTATTTATTTTTGTTTTTCCTAAAATCTAAACTAAGATCAAAGTTCTTCAACAGCGGTTCTCGGTGACAAGACCTGTATGGTCTTCTTTGAGTATCCGCGTTCTTTATCTTAATTCTTTATTTATTTGTAACGATTTTTTTGCATGTAAATTTTTCTTATTATATATTTGTAAATATTGTATTAAATATTGTAATAAAGAACAAAAAAAAAAAAAAAAAAAAAAAAAAAAAAACTTAACTTTCCTCCTGATAATTTATTTATAAACAAGTGACTATCATAACCAGATAAATTGTGAAATAGTACTGGGAAGAATTTTGGAATTTTATATTTTAAATTGCACTTATTGTGAGCAACTCCTCTGTACTTTCCAGTAATATGGCAGTGACCTCTTACTTTATCTTCAAGATCTCCTTTACAAATGTGACATTTTTTTCCATTATTAAAATCTTTTTTATCTTCAAGAGTAAATTCCATCTTTTTTGGAAATTTAATATGTTTATGATAGATATTCTTAAAATCTGCTTCTAATCTATCAACAAAAATTTGTGCAACATCATCAGTTTCATTGTAAGCAGTAAATGTAACTGGTTCTCTTTTATAAATGCTTTCATCGAAACATTTAATACAGTAACAAAATGAGCTTGGAACATGCCTTTGATACTGTTTAGTATAGGGCTCATTAGGATTAGGAGTACAAGTGTTAATGGGTTTGATGAAACTTTCAAAGTCAGCATATACAACAAAAGGCACTCTCATAGACCTATTATAATGAACGAATTCCATTGTAGATCCTTCTTTAGGAAGTTCAATTTGTACTGATTTGTGTGCATTGCAGTACAATTTATGTTTTGATAATGATTCTTTAGTATTGAATCCTAATAAGCAATTTCTGCAATAGTGAATAGCACATTTATGATTAGATGTTTGTGAAGATAATAGTCTGCTTAAACTTTTTATTATGCAATAATGATTAGTAGTTTCATTTGAAAGTCTATTACATGCTTTCTTTCATTATATTTAGATTTTCTTAAAATATAAACTTCTGAATTTTCATATCCAAATACATTCACACTGATATCAGTATTATTTTTTTCAAATTTTGTAACTTGATTCAATGAAACAGGAAATTCAATTTTTTCCCAATTTATTTTTTCAGATTGTTCTTTAAGATCTTTATCAATTCTTTTAGGATGAGTTTCTTTAGGATTTAGTGCTCTTGTTATACACCACTTAAAGCACTCATTATCTTCATTCTTCATATTAATTATTGCCTTTCTAGCTTCCAATTTTTTGTCAAGTGGAATATATGACTTTGCTTTTATAGAATTATACTCTATAATATTGATATCCATCTTTTCAATAGAAACAAATCTCCAACTTGATCCTAATTTTTGAAATATTGATAAGTTTTCAATAATTTTCTGCTTTGCTCTTTCATAAAAATCACTCAAGCCTGTTGCTTCTAGTACAACTTTACTCTTAGTTGAAAACGAAGCATTTGTATTTATAGTTTCTCTTGTTTTAATATCAGTGCATTCATTTCACATGAAATAACTATATACACTTTTAATTTTCTACTTTCACTTGGTATTTTAATTGCACCTTTCTTAGCTAAATTCATAAACGATAAAACGTCATTACCTCTCAAACCATTAACTGTATATTGCTTTGGTACATTTTTGATAGCTGATTGTGTTAATTTAAAATCTATAGGTCTTCTTAGTCCAAATTTATTATACAAATTAGAAACTGTAGATTTTAATTTGTTTATTTTTTCATTCGCAGTTTTTTTAATTGATTTAGGTACATATGATATGATCCAATCTGCAATTGATTTAATTTTATTACTCACTTTATTAACAGCAGATGCAAATCGAGTCGGTGTAAACGGACTAGGTGTAAGAGCATTTTCTCTAATGTTTTCTGCAAATGGGGTATACATTGGATGAGATAGTTCTCTTTCAAGATCTGCTTTTTTCATTCTATAATAGTATTTAACACTACTCTGTTTTGCGATTTGTTTTAATTCTTTCAAAGTTTTATTTTCCATTTTTATATAGAAAAGATTTTATTTATGTCATTTTCAATTTTTTATATTTTATTGCATTTTATTGTTTTTTTTATTACATATTTTTTTGTAATAAAAAATTATTATTTTTATTATTTATTCTATATTTATTTTCTTAGAATTCAATACTTCAATTTTAATACCATCTTCTACTTTTCCATGACGTGACTCAATATACTTACATCCATGATGTGCATCCTTCATATATTTGTATAGTGATTTATATAGTTTAACTTCTCCTGTTTCAATGTTGGTTAATTTAATAGAGACTGGATCTTTTTTAATTGTTCTTAATCTTTCATATTTTGGATCTATATATTCTTTTTTTTCTTTTTTAGGATGAATCCTAGGTCTTCCAACTGGTTTTTTTTCAACTTTTATTTTTTCAACTTTTTCTTTTTTAACTTTTTCAACGTTTTCTTTTTTAACTTTTTAAACTTTTTCTTTTTTAACTTTTTCAACGTTTTCTTTTTTACCTTTTTAAACTTTTTCTTTTTTAACTTTTTCAACTTTTTCTTTTTTAGGATGTAATCTTGGTCTTCCAACTTGCTTTTTAGGTTGTACATCAGATATATCTGATAATACCGACTCTTTATCAATAAGTCTATTATCCATCGCAATCATAGCTAATGAAATAAGATTGATAGATGTTTTTGAAATGTTATTTTCTTTCAATAGATTTATTAAATATTTCTTTGTGTATTTCATTTTATTATATAAAGAAAAAATTAAAATTATTTTCAAATTATTTAAATTATTGTATATTTCTTATTTATTTTCTTGTACATTTTTATTACATATTTATTTTTTTCTTGTTATTTATTATTTTATTATACACCAATTTAAAGTACAACCATTCTATTTCCATCTGATTGAAGTTGAAGCATTTTATCAGATATTATAACAGCATAGGCTTGAGTATTTGCTGGAACGTTTGCATTAAATGTTGCTTGAATTTGAATATCTAATGTAGTTGTTTTTAATCTTTCTGATTGTTTACTCACATCAAAAACCATAATTGGGAATAAATCTCTATAATCTGAAGAAGTAATATTGCTGTTTGTAATAAGTTCATTCATTCCATAATATTTTTCACTGAACAATGCTGCTTCTCTATAAGCCCTTGAAAATTGCTAATTTGGAAATGATAAATTATAGTCAACGGCTGGATATCTATCTTTATTTAGTGTAGCATACATGTTTTTCAAGTTGCAATGATCAAACAATGCTGGATTAGTAGTTTGATCTAAATTTTTACCTGATTGGAAAGCTGCAATTATACACCTAGGTCTTTCACTATCAGTCTGTGCACTTAATCTCCAATTAAATGATGAAGTTTGTGGAACAGCAACAGTTTCAGAATGTTTAGATCTAAAATATGCTGGAAGTGTCATTTTTGATTCAATATCTTTATATAAAATATTTTTTTCTTCAATTGTTGGAGTTATATCAGGCATAAACAGTGCTATTTTACTTAAATTAACTATTCCTGCTGTTGCATTAGCAGCTTTAAAAATAGCATCACCATTACTTATTCTACTAAGAGTTAATGTATGCTTAAATCCATAAACAATTTTATCATAATCATTGCAGAATCCAAAAATGTGTTATAAAGGAACACAAAATGAAAATGTTTGTTTTGAAGTTGGTTTCTGAGTTATGTATGATTGTCTAGTTAAAAATCCAAGATTGGTAGTTATAGTTGCATCAGCTACATTATCTTTAAACCACAATTGATTTAATTCTTGTGCTAACTGAAAGTCGTTCGGATATTTTAACATTCCTAACATTGTAGTTGTTCTACCAGGATTATAAATGTCTTCAATCATTCTTCCTGATATTTGATACATTATTCTATCAAATAAATACATAATTCCATTATTTATAAGTGTAACTACATCTGCAACAGCATAATTTGTATTATCATTTCTTAAAAGTCTTCCTTCAAATAAAAAAAAAGGCTTCAGATGGAAGTGTAAATAAATCTTGCTGTTCAATGGTGATTCTTATCTCTCCACCACTATTTAGATTTGAACCAGTAAATGGTAAATATTCATGATATTCGTATTTTTAAATAGTTTCATCAATATCTGGTATTTCTGTAATTTTTTATACTTCTCTAGTTGCCATTTTTACTTTTTTATATACAAGATTTTTTTATATCATTTTACTTTTAATAATATTTATAGAAAAAATCTATAAATATTTTTTAACAATTTGCTTACGCGAACCGTAGTCCATGTCCTTTCTCAACTATATCTTCTATTCTAATTATTTCATTTACATGCTTTTTCGAATTCTTTTTTGATTTTTTTTTTCTCTTATCGCCGATCCCATCAATAATCTATTTAAATTCATTGTTGGATCATTAGATTCAGATTTAGCCAAATTTGCAAGCATTTTCTTACTTTCAGGTGAAAGTTCTTTATTTAATACTGGGTTAGTTATAACTCTGTTAGATACTTTTTGAATCAAGTTATTTCCTTTACCTATTGCAACATCTCTTGCAGTATTAAGTGCAGATTTTGCAAGCTCTTTACCTGCAGTCTTTGCAGCAATTATTGCAGTTGTACCTAATTCACTTGTAGCTGCTTTATTCATTAAAGCTAATGAATGCTTTGATAATTTTGATGCTGCCTCTGCTCTAATTAAATTTCTAATATTCCTAAATGTATCGAATATTCCACTACCACCAATAACATGTTTTTTCACATATCTCTTGCTTCGTACAATTAACATTTTATTTACTATATATTTTTTTAAAATCTCTTTTAGGATTATTCTAAATTTTCAAATTGTTCTGTATCGCTTTATACTGTTTCTTATTTATTACACCTTGACGTAATAATTCATCACAAATTCCAACAGCTTAATTTCTAGCTCCAGTATTACCTGCTTTCAATGCAGCTATACGCAATGAAAGCATTTCAGTGAGTTCATTAGGATCGCTAGGAAAAATTATAGGTGCTATTCCTTCTCCTTCTAAAATTGGTTTTGTTTTTATATCTTTCCAAATTTTCTTTATTATATCATTGTATTTTTTACTTCTATTTGATTTTGGTCTATTTGGATATATATCACTAGCAATTGCATCTGATTGTGTTAATATATCTTCATAATTTTTAAGATCATTATCATTATATATTTGATTGTCAGGATCTTTTTTTGTTATTAACTCCCAAATATTGGGAGTTCCAAGGTATGTCTTGTTATCAATAGCAATATCATCGTTATTAATAAATATTGGTTTTTTACCAATGTAAAATTCCCTATTTTTAGAATATATTCCAAATGTTTTATCAACTAAATTTTTATTAATAATATACAACCTTAGATAAACTGATGCAGTTTTACCAAATTTTAAAGTCTTTATTTTTTCTTCAGAAGGCATTATTTCTTTATTTGGTTTACTTTTTAGTTCAGGATAAGCATTTGTATAACCTTTCGTATAATCTTTTATAAAAGTGAGTGCTAAATTATTTGCTTGATCATTTAACTTTGATATGTCTTCTTTTATATCTTGATTACTATCTAGTAAAGGTTTATACAACTTTGAAAAGTCTAATTGAAGATAATTATGTCCTAATCTATCACTTAAATCATTCTGCTAAATTTTTTTCTTTAAAGTAATAAATTGATTAACTATTTTATCTCTATTTTCAGGATTTGTTATTTTTAAAAATGTCATTTTTATATATGCAAAATTTTTTTAATTTAAAAACATGACTTTAATTAGATTCATAAAATCCCATACTAAAATAAAACATACTTTGTCAGATTTTTATTATTCATTTTAATAAAAATCCATAATTTGTTGAACGTATTTGCGTTTATTGTTAAACATGATTGCGTTTATTGTCAAACATGTTTAGCTTTTTCCATATTTAGCTTTCTCCATAAAGCCTTTATTGTTTAAACTTTTACTAATCTTATTATTAAATTCTTTAATAACTTCTTTTCTTGCTTGGTTAATTAATGATTCTTTATTTTGTTCATTAATTTTATTTTTAGTTTCTGTTCTAATTTGACTAAGCATGTCTTTAAATTTTTCAAGTTCTTTGAGTATCATTTTATATTCTTGATCATCTATATTTTCCTCTTCTAAAGCTTTAGAAAAATATTCACTTATTGTATTTAGTTTTGCATCAGCTAACATTTTAATTTTAATCTTTTCATGTTTTTCTGCTTTTAAATTTAATTTTTTATTCACTTGTCCTTCTATTAATAATAATAGCTTGCTCCTAATGCAGCACCTTCACATGCAATAGCTACTGGAGCTGCAATTATTGTTGATAAAAAACAAATTCCAATAGCTCCAAGCGCCATAGTGCTTGCTATTAATGAATTATCAATTGCTGAAATTATCATATAGATCTATGATACTTTTTACTTAACATAATTCTCTTTTCTCTCTCACTTTCTATCTCATTTTTAATTTCACTAATTCGTTGTAAACGATACACATGACTTTGTAGAACTGGTGCAGTTGGTGGTATACTATAAATATTATCATATACCTTATTTAATTCCATATTATAAATCTTTATATTTCATCTTTTTATAAAGAATAGTATTTTTTAAATTGTTTTATAATATTATGATAATATGTCAATTTTTTTATATGAAGTTTCTTTAGATGTAGTTTTTTTAGATAGACTATTCTTAGGTAAAGTTTCTTTAGATGAAGTACTTTAGGTAAAATTTCTTTTAATGAAATTGTTGGATTATCTATAAAAGTTGTATAGCTAACATTTTTATACAAATTACTGACAAAGCATAAAACAAAGCAAAAGAACTCCTTCTTTAATTTTTATATCTGATATATCATTATTATGTATACTTACTATAATGTCATTAATACTCTGCTATTACAGAATTTTGTAAATTTAACTTAGTTTTAAAGTTTTTTTTTAATGCAACTAATGTATAACCTTTTTTAATATCAATTCCGCACTTTAGAGCAATAATTTGATGAGATCTTGACTTTATTAAAAAATCCTGATTTGCAAATATTTCACATTTTCCATCTTTATATATTGAAGGATGCTTTAATTCTTTATGTAACTTAAAAACTACTGGAGAAGGTTCAGGTTTTTTTATAATTATCTCCAAATTTATGTATTTGCATATTAGGTTGCATATTTCCAAATTTATCTACTGGCATTTTATTTAAATAAAAATTTTTTTTATATCATTTCATAATACAATAAAAAATACAATAAAATATAAAAAATAAAATTGACATAAAAAAATTATCTTGCCTATAAAAAATGTCATTTGTAACGATTAAAAACTTTGATGCTAATAATTTATATGTAAGAGAAATAACTCCATTTTACAAACCTGTTAAAAATGATAATTTGATACAAATATCAAATAGGTAAAGGACCTTTAAGAGTAAAAACATTACCATTCTTTTCTTTTGGACTTTGTGAAAATAAAGATCCAAAAACTAATAAACTTACATGATATTCAATTCCACTTGTTTGTTTTAATGAAACGAAAGGGAAAAATGAAAAAGAAGAAAAATTTATTAATATGATTGAATCTATTGAAAACTTTTGTAAAGAGCAAGTTGAAAAAAATCAATCAATGTTAAAAACAGGAGGAATGAAAAATCTTAATAAAGATAACTTAAAAATTTTAAAATATTATTCTAATAGAAAAGATGAAAATCATGAATTAGTTCCAGTCATTTATGCAAAAATACCTACAGAAGGTAAAGATTTAAGAATGCAACAAGTTTTTGAAGATGAAAATGAAGATGAAATTTCAGGATATAAACTTATTAAGAAAAGATGTGAAGTTGTTGCTTGTTTACAATCCATACAAATAAAATTAGTAGAGGCAGTTGTTACAACTTTTTCAGATTCCAAATATAAAAACAAATCTGAAAGTATTATTAAAGGTATTGATTTAGATAATAATTCTGATAATGAATAAAAATAGGAAGAAAACAGAATATAATTTTTTTGTAAAAAATACAAAAAAAATATAAAAAATAAAATGATATAAACAATTTTCTTGCGTATATAAAATGTATTTTGAAATATATAAAAATAGTACAGATATAACAACTCAATTCGATAGGATGATCAAGAATATGAAATGGCTTTAGTTTATTTAAAAGCTGATTTAGATTTACTAAATGTTAATTCTTCAAATAATAATTTTAGATATAGTTTAGATAATGGAGTTACTTGGAAAGATAAAACCATTAAAGATGGAAACTATAGTTATTATACTTTAACTAAATGTATAGATAATATTAGTGAAAAAATTTTTTATATTGAAACATTTAATTTATGTAAGTAAAACACCAAATTCAATTGCATCACTTTTAGGTTTTGATAAACAAATACATCAGGTCGTCATGATTCAAATAATATGTATAAACCACCTGTTAAAATGCGAGTAACAAATAGTATTATAAATGGAAAATATAAAAATGTAGTAGCTAATGACGTTATATATAAATTTAAACAAGATTTAAATTATAATCATAGTATTAATGAACGAATAAAATCGAAGAACTAACTTATTATAAAGTAAAAGTTAAATCTATATCAGAACTGCAGACTAAATTAGTTGATAAAAATGATAATATTTTAAATTTACTAGACGCGTAAATATACTATTTCATTTAAGAAAAGCATAAAATTTAAATAAGCATTTTTTATATTAGAAAACAATATAAAAAAATATAATGTGTATATAAAACGAGTCAGTTAATTAGAGTTAATGGTAATAGTTCAAGATTATTATATCAATTTAGTCCTGCTTTTAGAATTGAAGAAGATGAAAAATATGTAATGGCATTACATAGATTAGAAACTTATTTTAGCTTTCC